TGGGCCTACCAAAGGAGAGCACTTGAGTGCTTCTACCTATGAAGGAAACCCCCTAAGCGAAGGAAGCCCAATATAAAAAGAGGAAGACCCCAGTAAGGAAGGGGTTCGGAAAAATGACTAAAAAAAGACAGATTTAGTAAGAATTATGATTGTAAGTTGTGATCTTCCAACAAAGATATACAAAATTACAGTGGATGTAGCTCTCATTTTTATATTATATTATAAGATATAACTACTATATAATATATTTTAATTATATTATAATATTGAAGGGTAATTATGAAAAAATAAAAATAAAAAAAGAACTTCGAATGAACATTCCTCCCATATGAGGAATGAATGATGATTCACCCAAAATGGGTGAATGACCATTCTTTTTAAATGATGATTCATTTCTTATAAATCCAACCAAATATCAAACTACAATTCCATTCCATTCTATTTTATTCCTTTTCACCCAACCAAACACACCCTTATGGTGCGTTTGATTACAGTGAATGAATAGTAATGGAAATGAAAATGAGAATATTAATTCATTTATGTAGTTCTACTTTTACAAATGTAATAGAATGAAATATAAATATTTTACTTAATTGACTCAGTTTTAAATGCAAATTAAATTTTAAACTATAAAACTATTAAAATATGAAAAATTAACAAATTAAATGTTAATTTTTGTAATATAATTAATTTATTTTTAAAATTTAATTTAATTATATAATTAAATATGTTATAATTATCTTTTTTTATTATTATATGTGAGTCTTTTTATCATAAAAAAATTTTAAAGAAAAAGAGCGTCTTAAGAATAAAAAAGAGTATGTCAATAGAACCGCTTTTTTTAAAATTATATATGTTCAACACTTTATATTTATAGTTATGGACTTTATGACTATTATAGTATTATTATGATATTATCGGGACATATGTCGGGATTAGGGTTGGGCTTGGGATATGAAGACTTATGTAGTAGATTATGAGAGTTTGATGAAATGAAGAATTGAATTGGGTATGATGAAGAGAACTATCAGATTTTTCTAGAGATAAAATGTTAGTAAACTTCTGAGTCATGATGTTGGTTTTCATGTTCCCAAATTGCATTTCTAGACTTGTTTTATTTTGATTTATCTTACCTGCCCTTTTCTGCAACTATTATATACCTCAATCCCAACCCACTAATATCAGTATGTAGATCAAGCAAAAAAAAAAAAAGATAGGTCTGATATTTTTTAGTAATTAGATTAGGTAAGTCTGATATTGACTGGAATTCTAACTTACACTACAAATTATGATATTTTGTTGAAGTTTCCGATTTCAATTGTGGGATTTCTTATGTTCTTGTTAACTTTTCCTGCAAATGCATATGATACACGTGATCCAGCAGGAAATATCACAATTAAATGGGATGTAATGAGTTGGACTCCAGATGGCTACGTGGTAAATATAAAAATTCGTAAGAAGATTTTTATTTATATATTTGTTTACTATTTTTTTTTTTTTTTAGGCAAAAGCCAATTGCAAAAGGAAATTGGAAGCAGGCGATGATCGATTTCGATTCAGCTTAAGAAGTTGAAATCTTAACATAAAGACCACTTTTCAATATAAAGTTAGTTTTCCTTCTCTCAAATTTTTTTTTCTTTATAAAAAAACAAATGAAACCATCAGGATTTGAACTATAATAAATTTATGCATATACTCACGCATCCAACCGAACTCTTAACTTTAATTAGTGGGAATTTCATGATTGCTCTTGTTCATATTGTGAAAATGATATTCAATTTTTGTTATGTGACATAAGGCCTTATTGATATGGCTTCTTAAAAGTTACTTTTACATCCTAAATTCAAAAGATGTTTATGAAAATATTTAGGTGATATGCTAAAAGATTTTTTTGTCTCTTTAAAAGAATTTTCAGTCAAAACCACAAAGTGTGAATCATTTTTTGCTTATTAAGCTATGAAAACCTGCTCTAGTGTAATTATCTCTTATTTATTCTAACATTTTTTAAAGTTTTTTTAAAATATAGTTTCAAAGGCTTACTGAAAAATCAAATTTTACTTATCTTTTTCTACCAACTAAAAGAAAAAATAAAGGGTGTGTTTGGAATTGATTTTAAAATGATTTTATTTTCAATAAAAAGTAAAAATGAGATTGTTTTGAGAATCATTCTATGACCGATTCTGAAATTACGTTTGGTTAGTTTTTTAAGAGATTGTTTTGAGTATAATAAAAAAGTGAAATCGTATTTATTAATTAATATATTATAATATTATTGATAAGTATTAAAAAATGAAAACATAAAAGTGAAAACAACTTTTAATTATTTTCTAATTCCTTCACAAAAATCATTCTCACAATTTTTTTTTTCATTTTCATTTTCAAAACATTTAGTAAACAAACGTCTACCTCGTTCGCTTCGCGGATTCAAATTTTCAATTCGAGTTAAGATGTGACATTTTCTAAGAGCTTTTAACTGTAACAGAAAAAGTTAGATGTAACATTTTCTGAGAGTTTTTAACTGTATAAATTTAAAACTGAAAACTTAAATCAGTAAAATGAACGAGACTATCGTTTCATTTTTATTTTTATTTTTATTTTTTATTTCTTGAAATATGTGAAAACCATTTTAAAAAAACGGTTCTAAACACGGACAAAAGTTGAGCGACATGGGCCCTGTAAAATGTTTTGATTGGTAGCATGTTGTCACAATATATAACTTTCAACACCATCGCCAAATCAAAGCTTCGGCTGGGTTAGACGTTGGGGTCGACATGGGCGAAGAAGGACGTAATCTGGACCAAGCCGGGAGCACAAACAACGGAGCAAGGTGATTGTTCGAGATTCATAGGGAACATTCCCATCCTGCATTGCTGGCTGGAAGAAAAATCCGGCAGTGGTCGATTTGTTTCTGGGAACTCCTTTGAAGCAACCGGCTACAAATTGCTGCAAAAGGGGGAGCCCCCAACTCTTGGTTCAGGGATCTTGCCAATGCGGCGAGCTCGTTCCAGATCAATGTGGTTGCTGCAGGGGTAACTAACAAAACTGTCAAATGGCCGAAGAATTTCACTCTCAAACCACCATGGCCTTGGATACCCTTGTGGACCTACAAAGATTGTTGCACCAATTAAATTTGTCACTCCAGATAAGAAGAGAGTCGCCCAGGGTCGGCTCTGCCCCTAGGCCAGTTAGGCAATTGCCTAAGCGCCCCTAAATAATTTCTTAATTAATTTTAGATGCTTTAAATGTCCCTATTTAATCATATTTAGCTGTTTTAAATGCTCCACTCTGTTTTTTAGAAGCATCCCACAACAGCTTTTTTCTCTCATTAAAAACAATAATTGATTCTTTTTTATTTTTTTTATTTTTTTGAAACATGATAAACCTAAGAAAAATGCTTTTATTATTCACTTATCAATAAATATTCATACACTACAATAATTGATTCATTTCTTACGTTGTTTTCGGTTGATAATTTATTGTTTAAAGCTCACAATAGCTATAAAGATTTAATTGATAATTTTGCATACTAAACTATAAAAAAATAATGATTTAAACTCGATTTAATTAATTTTTTAATGAATATAAATATTTCTTTTTAATTTAAAAAGGTCTTTTAAAATGTTTGTCTAAGGCCCCAAATGTGCTTGAGTGGCAACCGGAGTCGCTCATGCTTTCAGTAAGTACTAATCTATTGGGAGAAAGAGAGAAATAGGTCAAGATTTAAGATGAATTAAAATTAATAGGTCAATAGTTTACATAAGTTAATAAATAGGCTAAATTATTGTTTTCGTCCATAACTTGTCTGGTTATGAACTATAACTTGACAAGTTATTCATGATTTTTATTCATAATTTGTCTAGTTATGAATCATAACTTGACAAGTTTATCAATAACTTATCTGATTATGAACCATAACTTGACAAATTATGATCTATTAATTTCTATAACTAAAAATTAACTTATATACTTTTTTAAAGTTTTCATATTGACATATTTTCTATTATTTTCCTAATCTATTCCCAAAAGAAATGAAAGGATAAGAAAATAGCTTGTTGATTTTTTAAAAGTGATCTCGAGATCATGTCTGACATCTATATGATTAGTGTGCATCAAATGAGCCAAAAACAGGCAAAAATTTTCATGTTTTTTTTTTTTTTTTGTCTCTTATACGTGCTTCTCTTTTGGCAGTGACTCGGAATGTTACTTGCACATACGTGTATTAACGTACACAAATCGTATGATTCTGATGAAGAAACCCCTCTCAATATCATCCTTTTCAATTGCGAGAAAGAACCCGTTCTCACGTTAAAATCAAAAACTTCCGAGGCATATCTTGTAGATCGTATTAGAGAATTCAGAATTGTATCGCATTTGTAGTATATAAATTAATACAATGTAAAACTAATACATTTGAATGTCGTATCATAA